AGGCAAGTTGGAGCTAAACTCTGCAGGACACCGGCCCTCCAGGACCGAGTTTGGACAGCCCTGGCCTATATAAAGGCGATCGGGCCTTCGCTGTGATAGGGCCGAGACTTTGGAATGAGTTGCCCCTGCTGATCAGGTCTGCCAAATCACTGTCAGTTTTTAAGAAACTGTTGAAAGCACATCTAATGTTGGTAGCATACAATGATTGATGTGGTGTTTTATATGTCGATGTGGTGTTTTATGTTGTCGATGTTTGTTTCCATTCTTGTACTTTTTATGTAAAGCACTTTGGTTCAACCTCGGTTGTGTTTTAAATGGTGCTATATAAATAAATAAACAAGAACAAACAAGAACAAGAATATTAGATGCGTTGTTGGTGGTTAAATTATTACCGACATTAAAACATGTCCAAGATTCACACCTGTAAGTAAATGTCGTTGTAAATCCCAAAAAACTGATATTATGACATATTGCATATTCATGTCTGGATCATTTCAGTTTGTGTGTCTGCCAAATCACTGTCAATTTTTAAGAAACTGTTGAAAGCACATCTAATGTTCGTAGCATACAATGATTGAGGTGGTATTTTATATGCCGATGTGGTGTTTTATGTTGTCGATGTTTGTTTTCATTCTTGTACTTTTTATGTAAAGCACTTTGGTTCAACCTCGGTTGTGTTTTAAATGGTGCTATATAAATAAATAAACAAGAACAAACAAGAACAAGAATATTAGATGCGTTGTTGGTGGTTAAATTATTACCGACATTAAAACATGTCCAAGATTCACACCTGTAAGTAAATGTCGTTGTAAATCCCAAAAAACTGATATTATGACATATTGCATATTCATGTCTGGATCATTTCAGTTTGTGTAACAAAGTGACTGAGGCCAATAAAGGTCATTAGATGTCATCATGTGTTTCAGGAAGTATTTAATAACGGCTAAAAGAATTAGGACTCATCATTCTGTTACTGTGATTAAAAACCCATAAACACACATAGTAATCCAATATCAGACATTGATCTGCACATTACAGTGAATTTAAAGTAAAAACATAGGATTCATTTTTACACCGTATGTAATGTTCTAGAGCAGGGGTGTCCAATCCTGCTCCTGGAGGTCCACCATCCTGCAGAGTTTAGTGCCAACACACTTACCTGAAGTTTCTAGTGAGTCTGAAGACCTTTGCTTTGTTTGAAATCACCACCAATCACTATTAGTCCACTTGAAGGAGTCAATGAAAATTCATGAGTGAATTCACACACTGAGTGTGCCGGAAGGGTTTATTAATCATTTGAAACTTAACTGCAAGTTCCAGTAGTAATATTAAAAGATTTATCTTGAACTCTGTCAAAGACACTAGCACTTATAAACCTTAATAAAATAATTTAATAATCAATTAAAAGGAATTTATGCCTGTATGATATTACACTGTGGCCACATTGGACCAGTGGTTTAGAAAATGGAGGGATGACTCAGCTGCAGATGCCATCTTCTGGTGAGACACGGAAATTAATTTGGCTCGACCCTCACGGTGCATTATGGGTATTCGCTAGCTGTTGGTGTACATCATTTGTCCACTCATTATTGTGGTGCATTGTGGGATTGATTGAGCACACTGTGTAAAGTCCACTGTGGTTTTGGATGCCATTACAAATGGCTGTCTTCTCAAATAGTGCCCTATTCAAGGGTACAGTGGTGATTCCAGACAGCTCTTGATGAGCTGCTACAGGTGTGTTTAATTATAGTTGGAGCTAAACTCTGCAGGACAGCGGCCCTCCAGGAGCAGGTTTGAGCACCCCTGTGCTAGAGACATTCTTGTTACAGGTTTTACTTTTTACAACCATAAAACAACATTCCTGTAACACTGTGTTTTTGACAACCTAGAAATAATTACATGATGAAGCTATGATGATTCTGGGGCAGCGTGTTTCTTCTTGTGGGTCTGAAAACCCCATTTAAAAGCGAATCTCTCGCCGCAGATGGAGCAGCGGTAAGGTTTCTCTCCTGTATGATGTCGCTCATGGACATTCTTGACACATCCTCGAGCGAAAGTCTTGTCACAATATGAGCATTTAAAAGGTTTTTCTCCCGTATGAGTCCTCCGGTGTATTTTTAAGTCATTTGCGTTAATAAAACCCTTCCCACAATCACTACAGGGATACGGTCTTTCTCCTGTGTGAACTCTCTGATGAATTTTGAAAGCAAATGATCTAGCGAAGCTCTTCCCGCAGTCGGAGCACAGGTACAGTTTCTCTCCGGTGTGAATCCTCTCATGGGTTTTACAGTGAGTTGAAAGATGGAAACGTTTCTCACAGTGTGAACACTGATATGGTCTTTCATCAGAATGCATTTTTTGGTGTAACTTTAGAGAAGCTGAGCTTATAAAAGGTTTTCCACATTCACTGCACTGATAGGGATTTTCATTGCTGTGCCTGAGTAGATGTGTCTTCAGATAAGATCCCTGGCTGAAGCTCTTCTCGCAGTGAGGGCATTGATGCGGTCTCTCATTGCTGTGCGTGAGTAGATGTGTTTTCAGATGAGTTCTCTGGGTGAAGCTCTTCTCGCAGTGAGGGCACTTGTATGGTTTTTCACCCGTGTGAATTCTCATATGAACAGAAAGATCTCGTTTGTTGCGGAAAAACTTGCTACATTCGTTGCACTGGAGAGACTTTTCTTCGTGTGTCTTTATATGAGCTCTCATACTATAAAGAGTGGTGAAAAGATCCTTCCCGCACTGTTCGCAGTGAAACTCCTTCTTCACGCTGTGCTCTTTTGAATGAAGTGTTTTCTCTTTGAAGGTAGGAAAGCTGATGTTGCATATCTTGCAGGTGAAGTTATTCTGTTCTGTGTGTTTTCTCTTTCTGGCATGTCTTTTTAAATTACACTGTTTGCTGAATGTTTTTCCACAGGTGGCACAGGAGAAACTCTTCTTTGTTCTTTGCTCTTTGGATGTAGAGGCAGTTTCTCCATCAGAAGATGAACCAGCATTCTTATCTGAAAGAAACAAAATTTGCATAAAATATAATTTTTTCTATAACTTTGAGTGGAACAACAAATTCAGCTCTGACTTCCTGTTTGTTGCTGCCGTGTGTTTTGAGTTTGAGCTCCGTCAATTTAATTCTTTACGGTCTATTTTTTTTATCTTAAAATCAATTTTATACACCATAATTTTCGTTTCTATAACGTGTGAATATATCCCCTATCGTATTCTACGTCCGAGGTAAGTATACAGCGCGCTGCTAACTCTCCCACCACCTCTACTCCGTGTGTTTCTCTGCAAAGGCCCGGTGCACCCAGGACGTGATCTTTCCATATGTATTTCACTCTGGCGCCGGGACACCACGGACCCTGGGTGCACCCGCAGCGAAAGACACAAGCCAGGCCGCGGGCGACGACCTCTCCCCCTCCGCCGCATCCGGTCTTCAAGATCTCCACCCGGAAACACTTTGCTCCCCTCCAGAGAGCACCGGTGCAGTCGCGCTTCACGCGGGGGTTAACGACACCAAGCTGCGGCAGACGCAGACACTGGAGAGGGACTTCAGGAGCCTGATCGAGATGGTGCGCAGCGCATCGCCCGCGACGTACTACACAGAACTGACTTGTTATTGAAGAATACATGAGAATATTATCACATATGTTTATTTCAGATGTTTCAATATTGAGCCAGCACAAAGCTGGACATACCTCAGATATTTCAGATATTGTCAGATTTCTACACTAGCGTTAGAAAAATAACGACATCCACGTATAAAACAGCTAAAACACATTAATAGCGTAACACTTACCGTCTGAGTGCTCGGTCTCCTTCCTTTCTTCGGTGGTTTTACCGGAGAACTAAAGATCGTCAGAGCGCCTCCTACAGGACGAGCGATAGAGAAGAAGAGAAGAAACGACGCTCCCGCGGCTGTGTGGAAGGCTGCACCAAACCTTATTTATTTTATTTCTAAAACACTATTTCAGCGGCGTTGCCAAGACATGGATATAATATATCCATATATTCATATCATATATAATTATTAAATAAAGTAATCTATCATGTTAGTCAGCCGGTCAATCAAAATGACCGTTAATTTTTGAATTACGCGAGTTGGCGGCTTTCTGGAGGACAGGACAAGAGAAAGCGCGCGCAGAACCAGAGAAGCGCAGTAAAGAACACAACAGAGAGAACACTGTAAACTTGCATTTTTAATTGTATTACACTGCTTTACTGTAGGCTGTGCTGAGGTGTTATGAATGGTTACTAGTAATACAGGCTTAAATCCCATTGCGTACAGACCATATTCAAGGTGCTGTAGCTGATTAAAGTCCCAATGAAATCAAAATTGAAGTTAAAAATGTTGTATAGCCTTAAGGTTATCTATAAGCTTGTGTGCTCCAAAACAACGACAAGTCACATTTAGAAGATATAAGCATTAACTTTAGTCATTAGTCTCTCATTTCCACCAATATGAATGCAAACAAAACCATGGTTAATTTGTGGTTACCATCCAACCATGATTGTTGGATTTATTCGTAGTAAAACCATGGCTAATTGTTGTAAGGCAACATGGAAAGTCAGATAGAATATTAGATGCGTTGTTGGTGGTTAAATTACTACCGACATTAAAACATGTTATTAATGTCAACAGCCAAAAAAGTTTCACAGGATTATGATTGTACGTTAAAGTAATGCACGGGGTTCATCTTGGGCTTTTTTCTTTTTCCTTTCTTGTGCCGGATTGCTGATGTCTTTTCACGGGCATAGTTGTCCATCAGTTACGATCATTTGCATTCAGCTGCAAACATGAGGTGCGAGCGGGCGCAGATGCAGGCACAGCGCGTCACGTTTGCTTAGCCTGTCTACTGCGTTCACCGTAAAATGCATTTTTTATAATTATATATATATATATATAATATATAATATATGTTCATGTTTAGATTTTTATTTATATGCATATGCATATGCATATGTATATGTTAATTTTAATATTAATATAGGACTAAAGTTATTTTTGAGCAACTGAGGCCATATCCACACGAAGCCAGAGCTTTCCCTATCTGATAATTTTTTTTCCCATGTCTCAAGAAATAACTGTGCACACAAGAAACCCATGAAACCAACACAAAATGATGTAGTATACATGCCATACCAGTATAATTCTGCCACAGAGATACACTAAAAACGGAGAAGACGACTTGGACTGTGCGCGCTGTATACAAACGAACATGGAACCATACATTTATTAATCTGTGTTAATGTTAGTTAACAAAAAGACAATTGTTCAGAGTTTGTTCATGTTGTTGTTGTTGTTACGTGACGTAGCGGTGTGTGACTCAGGTCGAGACGAGGATGACATCATCATTTCACAAAATATACAGATTGGCTGTAAACACGAAAACACAAAGGTGTCGTTTTCAGATTTATCCACTCTGGGACCCGGTTTCATGCTCCCAAAACCCCGGATCCATCTGGACGAAACGCCTATACGATACAAAATCTTTATATATACAACTAAACGCGTCTCCGTGTGGACGGGGCCTGAGATGGTGCCCCCCTTGGGAGTTGGTGCCCTACGCAAACTGCATACTCTGCGTATAGGGTGCGGCAGTACTGATGCTGAAGCTGCAGCTGAAATCGGTCACTTGTATACAGAATTATTATTTTTCTGTATGGTGAATGGCACCTAGTGCACTATGTAGGGGATAGGGAAAGATTCCGACAGTGTATGCTTTTGATTGGGGCAAATGAAGTCTGGTTTGGCGTTAGTGTTACAGCACGCACACACATATCGCTGAGGCTGGTGCTGGAGCTGGAACCGGTGCTCAGCCAAGAGTGGCACTTGTTCAGAACTGGCTCCCGTTTCCACTGGCAGGGAGCAGAACGAAGTCGAAACCATATAAAAGTCAAGGAGGCGCGGCAACTACACGATGCCGCGTCACACCAGGGGCGGAGTTAATGCCGGTGAAACAGAGAATGTGAAATAGCGGCATCTCCGGCGCTATCACATATAGATTAGTTGAAGTTCGTTTAATTTCAATTAAATTATGTGTTATGATGCAGCAGCTGTACCGGTGCTCAAATAAGCAGAGTATGATGGTGATCATGTCCTAAAAGACGTGATGAACAATATCATAACAATGTGATAAGCTGATAGGGACAGCATTGAATTAGTGGTACGTCAACACAGGGGTGTATACGACCTAGTCGAAACTACTGAGGCAAGCAGCTCAGATCATTACTGAGGCTGAGTAGGCGCACGCGCTGCTCGCACTGACAGCACATGTGAGGCAAGCGACGACACAT